CATCACCATAATTTATACTCGGGCTGAATTTGTACAGTACTTGGCTTGTTCACCTTCCAAAATTTACCTTACATAAACTCTAATTTGTTCAAAATTCATTACCTGCATCCAATCCCAAATGAAATTTCACTCTCCACTGCCTCATCTCCATGGGCTCCTCATTTTCTCTGCCTATACGAATAATGGATTTCAAAATTCTCTTCAACAATTTAAAAATTGTGGGGAAGGGGCCTGGGCACTGCCCTGCCAAGTCCTCAACCAATCTGATACTAGCCTAACAGTTTATATTCTTGATCTCACCACATAATGGAGTCAGCGTAAGAAAGAAATTAAAATCTTTTAGAAGTAGGGTTTCAGCACATGCACACAAATGTACAAGAGTACAGCAGATAAAGATTGACAACTCACAGGTGCAGAATGCCATGTGGAATTAAATTATGGTTTTTAACAGACTCTGGCTCAAGGAAAAACAGGACTCGCTGTTAAATATTTCTGGATATAGGTTGTTCACGAAAGACACTTCATGAAGTATTGACTGGACGGCTGGTTTGCATTGCAGTGACACCAACGTGGTTCAATTCCCGCACTGGCTGAGGTACCGTGAGGGATTCTCCTTCTCAACCTTTACCCTCGCCTCAGCAAAACCACCACCAGTCATCTCTTTCATGAGAGCAGCTCTACGGTCTGATAAGACTATGGCGACTTTACCATCACTTTTTCAAAAAAAGCGCAACAATAAGCACACCAGGTTCACACCGATTGTTGAGAAAGCCAGCATGGATTAGTTAAGGGAAAACCACATTCAATATGTGCCTCACCATACGCGCCTACGTTATTAAAGGTAGGACAGTGGACACAGCTGTTAATAAAGCATAAAGTAGCCTAACCTTTACAAAAGGAGGCACAGAGTACATCAGCAGGGAGATAACACTCAACTTGTACAAAACAATAGTTAAAGCTCAACTGCACAGTCCAAGTGCCAAACCCACAAGGACGTAAACGTGCAGAAGAGGCTTGCAAGAGTAGTTAGCAATGAGAAAATCCAATATGAAGATATACTGGCGAAGTCGGGACTGTTTTCTTTGGACAGAAGGCCAAAAGGAAGTGTAATTGAAGTTCTCGGAATTATAAAGGAAGTCGACAGAGCAGATATGGAGAAACTCGTTCCCAGTAATAAAAGGATCAAGAATGAGAAGGCACAGATTTGAAGTAATTTGCAAAAGAAGCAAATGTGATGCACCGCCTGGAAATGTGGTGAAGGGCACTTCAATCAAGGCATTCAAGAGGATGTTATTTCTATTCAAATAATCATATAACATGCAGGATTACAAGGATTAAAAAAAAAGGAAAAATAGCACAAAATCATTTGGACAGCCAACGAAGACGTGATGAACTAAAACGGCCTTCTTCTGCACCACAATTCCAAGAATCTGTGACCATAGAATTGCAATATCTGATAATAAAGTCTAATGAAACAGTTTTCTATATATTAAGAAAAATGAGTAAAGCTGTGAGGTACAAATAATCCTTGCTGTGTAGGCTCTGCCTCTCAATTCACCACATTTCTGAAATTACTTATATGCTCAACTTCACCTCCAGCTTTGATCTCCCAATCCCCAGTAAAGCCATTATTCATACACCTTGTTTTAACCCCAGTACTTAAAAATATCCAAGGCTGCCCTGCCAGTCACTAAGATCAAAGCTGAGCCAATGTAGCCTTAACTCCGCTTTCCTACCTGTATCCAAATACCATACTCCCCCACTTTTTTGTCCCCCCGTCTTTGTCGATTGAAAAGATGTTTCTCTCATTCTTCAGTAAATTTAATGACAAACCTCCGCTGCTTCCTGGGGGACCAAATGCCAAAGATTCATCACCTTCAAAAGAAATTCTTCCTCTTCCCCATCTTAAACAGACCCCTTACTTTGAAACCACGTCCCCTAGCCCTAGATTCCATCCACTCACCTCACAATATCCTCTCAGCATCTAACCCCGTCAAGTGCCCCCAGCCTCATGTTTCAGTAAAATCACTTCAGATTCTTTGAAATTGTAAAAAGTATTGATCTTCCCTGATGCTGCTCCTTCAGCCCTGGAAAGTGTAATAAGTATATTCCCCTTATATCAAAACTTTACATTGTACTTTATTAGCGTGAATACACAATACCATTCAGTTATAGCAAGGCTTCTTTCCTGCAAAGGGAATGGAGTACAAGAGTAAAGGCTAACTTTCCATTTGCTTCTCTCATTACCTACATATTGACTTTCTGTGACCATATTTGGCTTTAAGTCCAAGACACATAGGCTTGAAAGGATATGACAGTGACTAGTTTTGCCATCCAATGCCTAATCTGGCTGGACCACAAAATTTCAGAAAGTGCTGGAAAAACTGAACAGGTCTAGCAGCATCTGTACAGAAGTCAAGCATGGTATTTCTTTTGAAGAGTCAAACTGAACTTGAAATGTTAGCTATTTCTCCCTCTTCATGGATGCTGCTAGAACTGCCAAGCTTCTCCAGTACTTTGATTTTATTTTAGATTTCCAGCATCTGCTTTATTTTGATTAAAACATCAAGTCTGGTTTGTGGAACGAACAGTTATAGCAGGTGCAAAGAAAGATCCCTTTCTTTCTTTCCATCTAATGCAAAGCATTTTAAATATCACTTCCTACCTCAGAAACATTCAGTACCTGTAGCGCTAAAACTCTGCTTTTTCTACACTAGTTCCACTTCTAGGCCCACAGCCTTCAGCATTATCCAAAAAAAAGACCAAAGAACTGCAGATGTTGGAAATCAGAAACAAAAACAGAAATTCCTTTCAAAAGTCAGCAGGGCTGACAGCATCTGTGGAGGGAAAGCAGATTTAACATTTCAGGTCCAGTGACCCTTCTTCAGAAAAAGTCTTCTGAACCTGTCCAGCCATCTTCAGGGATCTATGGACTAACATCCCAAGATCCTTCTGCTCCTTTGCACTTCCTAGTATCCTACCAGTCACCGAGTACTCCCTGGTTGTGCTACTTCTTCCAAAATGCATCCTCTCTCACTTTTCAGAGTTAATTTCATCAGGCACTGATCTGAACAATATATTTATACCCTCCTATAATCCAACATCTTCTTCCTTAATGTCAACCATCCAGCTAATCTTCATGTCATGTGCAGATTTATCATCTCCCCTCCATTTTCATTACATTGTTTATATAAATCATAAATATTAGAGACACATCCCTGCAGTAGCCACTGGACAATGGCATCTAGTCACACAAACAGCCTTCTACCATTACCCTCTCTCCTGCTGTGAAGCCAATTTTGGATCCAAATTGCCAAGTAACCCTGGATCACATGAGCTTTTACCTTCTCTATCAGTCACCCATGTGGGACCTTGTCAAAGGCCCTGTTGAAATCCATATAACTACACGAACAGCACTACCCTCATCTACATACTTGGTCACTTCCTCAAAAACTTCCCTCTGACAAAGTCATGCTGACTATTTCTGATAAAATCTTGCCTCTCAAACAGAAATTAATTCTCTATTCAGAATTTTCTCCAATAGTTTCCCTGACATTGATGAGAGACTCACTAGTCTCCTCCACTTTCACCTACAATACGTGAAAATAGTTCAGATCTGAATAAAAATCAGAAAGAACATTCTGTGGCTGACAAAAGTAAACTTTCCCTTCTTATTCTTCAACTTGTCTGCAGTCTCCAGCACTGTTGATCACAGCATCCTTTTCCAAAGTCTCGTCACCATCATCCTGTTTGACAGCATTGTTCTCACTTGATTCCAGTCTTAGCTATCTAATCACAGCCAAAATATCACTTGCAATGGCTGGTCTTCCCACTGCTGCACAATTACCTCTGGTAACTTTGGCTCTTCCCTACTACACACCTGTGTCATCTGAAAGAACATTCATTTTCGTACATACATTAGCCATATCCATGTTGTGAAATAATCAGACTGCTTAATCCATGAAGGGCTAAGCAGAAATCTCCCTCAATTAAGCATTGGGAAGATTTACATCATTATTTTTGGTCCTGCTCAGAACTCTTAAGTAGCTACTGACAGAGATTAAACTAGTCTGTTTGCAAACTTGGTGTCATATTTAACTGAGAGTTTCTGACCAGATTCATACCATCACTACACTCACCTATTTCCAACTCTGTAACATTCAGCAACATCCCTCCCAATCTTAGCTTATCTGCTGAACCCCTCCTTCATGCCTTGTTTCCTTCAGACTTGGTTTCACTGCACTCCTCACTGATCTCCTGCAGCCCATATACACCTATAGTCATCCAAAATTTTGCTGTCTATATTAATTTTTATCAAGTTCCATTTGCCCATTACCCTATTCAAGCCTGACTGGGGTCCTGGTCAAACAATATCCTGATTTCGAAATTCTCGTCCTCGTTTTCAAATCCCTTGGTGGCTTTGTCCCTCACTACCTTTAAACTCCTCCTAGCAATAGGGGATATCCGCATACCTCTAATTCTGGGTTTTTGAAAATTCTCAATTTCAATCATCTCACTAATGGTGATCCTAAACTCTGGAATTCTCTCTCGTGACTTCTCTGGCTTACTTTCCTTCTTTAAGGCACTCTTAAATACCTATGGGTCATTTGGACTTAATATCATGTGATTCCACAGCAATGCAAATAAATGTGGCTTGGTTTCAGGTTATGTTTTATAATTCTAACATGAAGCACTTTGGGGCATTCTATGACAATAAAAAGGTGTTAATAAATACAATTTGCCATAGTAATGTACCTGCAGGCCTCTGCCAAAACACTAAGCAGATACTATGCTCATTTCTCCTCCAATTGCACTGTTGGGACTCAGACAATTTTTTGTAAACAATTATCTAGCAATTCTTATAACATACTCGAGTAACATGCAAACAAATCAAAACACCAATTCTCTTATTGCAAATTGTATAGTACAAAGTTAAGTATTAGCTTGTGCCTTCTGAAAAAAAAAATGTATTTAAACATCAAGTTAAATTATTTTGATACCTGATGGAAATCTTTGCCGCTACTTTTACCATCGCCACTGAAATCCACGTGCGAGAATAGACAGCGTAATAAATGTCTGTCTGCCTCCGGCCCGTGTCGGTTCACAATCTGTAAATGACAAAACATTATTTTTAACCTCAAGTTCATTTGGTCTCAGCGTATCGCTACACAAGTTTCAGAGTCAGTACATTTGGCAATCTACAGTGGCTAGTTTCTACATTTTATTGATAATGGGATTGCTTCAATGGATTGCAACTTGTAGCACTTAAATCAGAACAGGAAGAATCTTGGTCTTTGCATCTTGACAGTGGTACACCGTAACAGGCATCAAAATCCCTGCATTGGGAGAATCCCATTCTTAATCTCTTTATGGTGAAACCACACAAGTGAATAGATTCAACCTCAGTGATAACACCACCTTGGCCCGAGTCTAATAAGTTAGTTTACAAATGAACAGACATTGAATACCATCACCAGTAAAAAAAAACAGCATAACATGTCAAAACCTCAAAGAAAATGTTAATTGTGTGGCAAGGGTGGGCACACAATTCCCAATTAATAAGCTCAATATATCACTCCATCATCCCATGGAGCTCTGCCACTCCCCCTCCTCCACCCTCACGCCAGGTTGTACATCATTAGCCCCTCCTATTTCTCATTTACACACTCCCTCTTGGTGACTATATCCAGAACATTTATGCCAACAGCACCCAGTTCTACCACATCACCACAACTGTCAACAGTACACTGCCTCTAATGTATCGTCATGCTTGCCACATCTGGTACTGGATGGGTATAAAAATGTCTAAGATTGAGAGTGTGGAAATCAGTGTCTCTGGCTCCCAGTACAGATTCTGCTCGCTGCATTTTCACTGCCTGAGGCTGAAGTAGAATTTTCACCTTTGTGTTGTGATTGACACGGACATCAGCTTCTCACAATATATCTATTCCATCAAAACCTATTTCCACATTTGTTAATTTTCTCTTTAAATAACTCTACTTCTCTCCTCTCAATCAAGGAATGGATTGGTAATGGGATAGAAAAACAGCAAGACATATATGAGAGCCAAATACAACATGGAGCTAAAACAAGTCACATAGCTGAGAGAGCGAAAACGTCCAAATGATTCATTAAAAATTTCCATCTCGGACCAAGTTTCGTGCTGATAATATTTCTTTATGCAATTTGGTGTCAAATTTTATTTTGTAATCTTGTGAAGCACCATGGGATATTTTACTACAAAGTGCAATATAAATCAGTTTTGTATTAACATTACTAAAGTTTACACTAATCAGATAAGCAGATGTTGCCCTACCCTTCCCTCTTTTTCAGTTTACTCTGCTTTATAGGGTGGACCACTCCTTACCTGTATGCACAAGCACCTCAAAACAAACACTGCAGAATCAGCTACTCAAAACCAAAGTTATATAATCAGAAGGAAATCCCACAAATGCAGATAATTTTTAAACCTACACCAAAATGCTTACTTGTATTTTTTGCACTTCATTTTAATACACATTAGTATAACACAAGAACTAGTCATTGAAAATGAGTTTACAACTCAAATCCCACTGGAAATAGTCCTGGCAAATGTTTCAAATCAAACACTCAAACAATCAAAAACAAAATTGATAGACATGAACAACAAACCTGCACATGAACTCTCAGTGGTTACCTACCATATTAGCATTAAAAGTTACTGATATTGATGGATAAAAATACATATGTAGAAGCTACAAAACAGAAGACAAAATGACTTGGTCCAAATCAATCTTTATTATCTATTCTCCTCATGAGGAAATATTTCTAGTCATGATTACCCACATTGCTTTCATATCTTTTAAATCACCAGTAAAAGACGTGTGAAGTGGGAAACAAAATGTACCATCAATCCACTTTCAAAATAAAAATGCCATCTGTTCCTCAATAAATAGACCTGACATCAGTAAGTACCTTCCCTCTTCTTAGAAGGAGGATTCTCCATTCCCACTTTTTCTGACAGTCCTTAACTCAACATTCAATAACAGGGGAACCCTAAAGTACAAGTGATAGTACCAAAAGCAATTGTAGTTTCCCTGCCACTGCCCTAGCAAAGGTCGGTGAACTTAAATCTGGGATCAATCATTAATGGCCTGTGCAGGTTAAGTCACTCAAGGGTATTTTTGCTTTCCTTTTTTAAAAAAAGTACAAGGGTGACCCCATCTATGCCGATCCCTTTATCAGAGCAGACAGTTAATCAAATCAACAATAATTTTATTGTTCCTCTATAGATCTACCAGGGACAGTGTGGAAAAAACGTGTTCTGCTCCCCTCTTCTTTCGGGTGAAAATAATAATTGGAATTTTCAGTCAGCTCACCTGCCTTTCAATTCAAACTTGTGGTGTTCCAACCTAAAATGATTGCATTTTAAAAATTGTACAAAATGAGGGGCTTCCAAATGGTACAGTGGGTCAGTACATTATATAATGGGCATCCATAACATGGGCCAACATGCCAAGTTAGCCAATCTTCATTGAGAGGTTACAATGAGATTCACTACCCTTGACTTTGCAGGAAATGAAGGAAGGGTGGAAACTTGCCTCAGCTTCGATCCTTAATTACACAGGTATGGGATCAACTAGAAACATGACCAAATGACAAAAAAGAAACTAGATTAAATTTGTCAAAAGCACAAATTGTTTGTGTTGTTTGATTTAACTATTCATCTAGGTAGCAACATACATAGAAAGGACAAAAGACAATGGAATGCAAATAATAAAGAAACGAAAAGTGATAGGACAGGAAAACAAAAAAAAACTTTAGACAGTGAAAATATACCAATACAACAAGATCCCAATTACGGCAATGAGAATAAAGCTTACAATCTATATGAATATGACTGTCAGAACTGATAAGCAGAAAGCAAATATACTGAGGCAGTTATAGATTGTTGCAGAGGAGCAATCAGAATGCTGGAACATGGAAACAATTCCAATGGAGAAAGAAAATTCTTAGGGAGCAAGGTAAAAATAAACAAAGATGCAGAAAAGCATCAACCCAATGAATATAGGCAAATGGAAAAACGTTAACTATCAGTGACATTGATAATCGGAAAACTGCAATCTGGTGTAGAACATGCACTGTTTTCACAATCACATATTGAGTAAGACATGAATCAAATGGACTCTATTTGACAGTGCAAAAATCTGTACAAAAGCAAAGCTAGCAACAGCTAAAAAGAAAACAGGAATCTATATTTATACATCGACAACAACAAAACAAAAACCCTTCTTCAGAGGAAGCAAAGATAATTGGAATGCAGGCTAAATATATAGGAGAGTTAAAGCACTTGGATGAAAAGATGGATTTTCAGAATTTTGCAGGTGGATAGAAAATAAAGAAGGGCTTTAAGTAGATGATTCCCAAAAATACGACAACCAAAGACTATGCCCCTAACAGAAGAAGGGAGGAATCACAGAAGGTAACGGGTGGACAACAACTGCAAGAAAAGATGCAGACTCTGAAAGATTGCAAACTCATGGAAAGGTAAGAAACTGGAGGAATTGGAAGACAATAACAGGATAAAGTTATTGGGGACAAGCAGCTAGCATAAGTCAGTAATAAGGGAACTAGACAGATAAATAATCATGAGGTTAAACTTTTAGAAAGTGCTTGAAGAAAGCAAAGACAGGATGAAGAAACCTGTAACCTTAACAATGAATAGTAATTAGACAGATGGGAGCTTGGTGTACAATGATCCAACTTAAACAGGAGGACTTGTAGATCTATGTTCATAAACCCTACTCCAAAACAACAGAATCGCCACAAAAGGTGGGGAACATACAACAGTCTTAAACCCCACTAAATGCTACTAAATGTCACACAGAAAGGGAAAGCTGATATGAGAATAAAGTGACTAACTTGGGTTCAGAATGAGAAAAAGAACATATGGTTTGGCAATTATTTGGAATGGGGAAACAGAAATGCATCCAAACACTTCAAAAGTTAGTGAATTAATCGGACAAGTAATCGGATAAGAAATAGGATTTCTTATTTTGAAATTGAGTTCTAGATTCCCTAAGCAGGAAAACATCTTCAGCAGCCATCCTATCAAGCTCCCTCAGTCTTATCATTCAATAAAATCATCTCCAGGAATAAAGGCCAAACTAGCTCAACCCTGCCTCAAAAGATAACCCCTTCATCCGAGGAATCAACCTAGTGAATATTGTCTGAGCTGCTTTCAATGCAAGTATACCCCTTAAGGAATTGTACATAGCATTCCAGAATTGGTTTCACAAAAGCCTTCGACGATTGTAGCAAGACTTCCCCACTTTTATCTTAAGTGATGAGGGTATAAAGGCTAGCATCCTATTTGTTTTCCTAATTAGATGCTGTAACCACACTGATTTTTGAGATTCACATTCAAAATATCCAGATCCTTCATCACAGGAACTCTCGGCAGTCTCCCTCTATTTAAATATTCTGCCCTTCTATTCTTCCTACCAAAGTGGACAATTTCACTTTTACAGATAATCCTGATTTTAAGACTAATGACAAAATTTTTGCCCACTCACTTGACTTTTCTATATCCCTCTACAGACTCTTTGTACATGCAGCTTGCTGTCCTACTTACTTTTGTATCACCAGAAAATTTGGGTACAATACAGTCAGTCAGTCTCTTCATTCAGGTTGTCAATACGCATTAATAATTCAGGACTCAGCACTGATCCAGGAGAACCACTAGTTAGTTTGGCATATCGAAAATGACCTGTTTTTGTCCCAACTGTTTCTATTATTGGCTAGCAAATATTCTACACATGCTAAAACATCAGCAATAACATCATGAGTTTTTAAACTCACGCAGCAACCTTTTAAGTGGTACCTTAGTGAAAGCCTTTTGGAAATCCAAATCCAGCATGCCATTTCCCGCGCCCCCACCCTCCATATGGTTCTTACAAGCACACTAATAAATTTCAAGTTTCAACTTCACTAGATCATACGCAGTCTGCCTAAATATAGTATGATTTATAACCATCCTGCTGCTTCTTTCATAATAATGAATTCGAGCATCTTCCCGTAACAGTTAGGCAAACTAGCTATAATAATCTTCTTCCTGTCTGCCCTTATT